AAAAGTGCCAAGAAAGAAATCCACTGAGAGTCCAGTTTGCAGTTTAGTGAAAAATAAACAATGCATGGACACAGCAAACGTGTCAGAATGCCTCATTTTAACCCGCATGAAAACGTACCTGTGATGCTGTTTTTCAGCAGAGACAAGGAAGCTGTTCAAGACAGATCGGAAGACAGATGGAGACAGTTGTTCACAGATGTTCACCCAGTTTGACTAATCTTGAGTATTTTGCAAAGAATCTGTAAAAGCTCCCGCGGTGCATAGCTGGTTGAGACACACCTTAAAAGATTTTTATCTTCACTAACACCCATCAACCTTTTCAGATTTTTATTTGGAAAAAAAAATGCAAAGGAGCATGTAACAGCTTTCAACCATTTCACAATTATGCTCCAATACTGTGTTAGTGTATTCCATAAAAATCACAAGTACTTACAAGTTGTGGTTGTGACTTGAGAAAATGTGAAAACTATAAATACACGTGAGGTGAACGGATAATTTTGCAAGGCGCTTTGCGCAAGAGTTGGACATGGAAACAGTTTAGGGCTTTGTAGGTGCTGAAGTAGCAGAGTATACATAGCTATCATAGCATTTACAGCACTGAAGCAGCAACCTGGTTGCAATCATGCCCAGTTGTAAAGTTCACTGATTGCAGCTTGTTTAGAGGCCTAATTAAACTCATTATTATAATTCTGTTTTATTGGAGGAAAGAGCATGAGGGGAACACTTGCACACAGAGATCCAGCTCCAGTTCGTCTCAAATGACCAGCTCTGCCAGTTCTAAGGAAAATGAGTTTGTGGTAATAGTAACCGGTGCGCAGTCCAAAATACTCTCTTCAGAATCATCACCCTCTATCCTTCACTTTTTCTGTCTCTATTTAAACCCCAAAAGTAAACATTTCCTCTCCATTATTATCCCTCCAAATTATATTCCAGCCACAACCCCGTCTCACTGGCTTGTGACACCAGGCCTCTTTGTGTTGTGACGCTCCAAAAAAAATAATCTCGCTGAACTTTGTGGCCATCGCAGCTAACCTGATACAAGCCAGCTTGCCGCTCCACTTACACAACATGTTTACCACAAGTCATTTAATCAAAAACAGACCAGAAACAATGCATCTGTCTTTATATACACCTCAGCTCTGAGATGACAGGGGAGGAAATGTCCCAATAAGAGTGTTTTGACTTTGAGCTTCCGCGGCAGCTTGTGCATAATTGGCATTGGACAGCTTAAGGGCAGAGAAAAAAAATGCAGTCAAGGTCTCGGTCTGAACAGCGCATTTGGGCTCTTGCAGAGACTCCTGGTCATAAACAAGCAAGCAGAACTAAGACGAAATTATCCACGGATAACTTGCCGTGATAACAAGCTGGAAAAGACCTAAGACAAGTCCAAAGGGAATTTGAGGACAGCCCGATGCTAATGATAGACTTTTTAGACATCATGCAAACCCAATGAGATTGGAATCATTATGACTCATTACTAGTCTGCAAACCACAACGGCTGCAAGAACGACCCCATGCCTCTTGAGTCTGTGTATTAAATACAAGGTTAAAATCATCAGGAGCAGATGTCTGAAACAACTACCATTGCTATAACTTCAGAAAAAAACATATCTGGAACAGACTGGGATTATTCTGAACATGACCTCCAGGTATTTTATAAAGGAGCTACAAAATTATACTGAAGGCCAAAGAAAAAGAAGATTTTACTTTAGATGAAAAGAACAACAAAGGCTGCTGATATCCAGTCAAGAAAATACAATTAGTGGTTCTGGCCTTGTGTAAGAAAATTATACAAAAAACTCCACTCGGGTTTTCTTCAGCCCCCAATAGAGCATTTGCCAACCAAACATTTTGACCCAAAACATAATCAAACGTGATTATATTTTGATGATGCATACAGTCCTGCAGATATTTATCTAACTGATAAGTGCGGTGCAAATGTAATTCTGACTTGGAATGTCGGAGGTCCAGAATCAGCCCAAGTTCAGTGTCAGTATGGCTGCTGTGCATACATAACAGTGAAAGCTGCAGGAACAATTTGTCTCTTTGCACTTCCAGTGGTTTGCATTTCTACTGGTTATCCTCTGGCTCGGCACTCATCCATTTAGCTGCGTTTCTTTTCCACATAAAGCAATTTAAAGAGATAATTCTAATTTTTTTCTTTACAAAGAAAAACCCTCCTGGACCGATGCTTCTGTTAAAACGGATCCTGTCCTTTCCACAGTCGCCACACAGGCTAAGCATAGTCAGGAGCTTAAAGCATTCGTATGGTCTTCCTTATTAAAATAATTTTTATTACCACTTTGCATCGTCAACTGAATTTGAACCGCAATAAACTGACAGTCAAAATTAAATCTATTTATATAACTAAACTGACTTTAAATATTTGTTGTGAATCTATTAATACGCAGAATTGAACTGCTAGAATCGTCAGCTGGTTAACCTGCCCGTTGACCACATCAGGTCACTCAAATGAGGTATAATATTTCAGCACCAAATGTGTGCAGGAGGGGACCAAGTCCAAAAAATAAACTCACTGAAACCTCTAGAGAACTACTCATCTCGAATACTCATGTCACAGACCATGATACTTTCATGGTCTGTGACAGATGATTGGATCAAACCCTGGAAGGTACCACAGTGTCAAACCAAAGCAAAGAAGAGGACATGGGATCCATGTGCAGACAATAAAACAAATCCTCTCTTAACAGAATGCTCCATTTCAGGGGAACATCTGATCTGTCATTTTATTGCTTGCTTCCTATATCGGTGCTGGTGTGCAGCCATCTGGTGATGTGGCTTTGTGAATAATAGCTCTATGATACAGCATCAGAACCGATGATTCAAGTGATTTAAAACAGGGCAACCAATGTGGAGCACGCACACTCATACATCCAAGGGGACGTTTTTTGGTTTAATTAAATGAGTATAAACATACAGGAAATTCGGCTCATGATATTTTAGGAGCAATTTAAATTTGATTAATGCTAATAAAAAAAGTGCACGAAGGATCATAGAAGACTATTAAGCCAAAGGAGGAAATGATGAGTCACCAGATATTCTCACAATATTTTCTTAAACTCTTGGTATTTTCACTCAAACAAAAGGAGCAGTTTTAAAATATTTCTTGGTCAACTTCAACATTCCTCTGTCTCTAAGTAGAGACACCACAGACAAACTCTCCAGTAAAATTAACTAATTAACACTCAGCTCTGCGGGTTTAGGGGACAAACCAGAAGGATTTTTCCAGACATATGGTATGAATCCCATCAGGCATATTTTGACAATTCGCCGAAACAGCGTGACGCGTGGCAGAAAATATCCTCTCTTTCCATGAAAAGCGAGACAGCTCCAAAGAAATGTGATGATTGCGGAGAGGTACGTCGAGGGGCAACGGTTCGCCTCAGACGAGTCAAAGAGGAAGTGGAAGGAAATGGAGATAAGTGGCGAGGGTTTGCTGTGTCAACGATTAGACACGTCATGAAATGGAGAAAACAAATTATATTCCCCCAGATATTCAGCTTTTTTTTTTTGTAATCTCAGGGTGATAAAACAATTCAAACATATCCAGGTATACTTTAGCCTTAAGCATATGTACACAATCTAAAAATCTGATATGTTGTAGCTACAGCAAACCTCATAGCACCCATGTTAGGAATGTATTTATTTCGATTTTATTGCTGAAAAAAATCGACTTTTCATTTGAGTATTATTATTCAGTTTCTACACTTATTGAAACTGATGACGATCTGTCATCTAAATCCAGATACCAGTTGATAGCCACAGCTTATTTCCCCCCCACCTGCACAGTGAGCAGGGTGTTGATGAGATTTTTAAAAAAAATCCTTTCATAGCCTTGAAACTGAATTATTTTCTCTTCAATTCAGAAAATGTTTGTAACATTTCATAAATATAACCAATTAAATGTCTCCTAAAGCAACGTATACATGTTTTTATTTGTACCTCAAAAGACAAATAGCTTAAACTCCTAAAATGAGAGAACTGACTGAATTAAACTAATTTTGAGTAAATGTTGAAACAAAATGGCATGCCTTGTACTCTCCCTCCAAAACACTTTAGGCGAGCGTTCCTGATAAATGAAAAGTTACTGTTTCAGCAGTGGCATAGTGAATTCCTTGAAATACCTAGATAATGTGAATAAAAATTTGATGGATTCTACTGGTAAACTGCAGAGTATTAATGTATAATCGTGAGCCATAATCAATACATAAATGACTCTGAGGCAAAAATCAACCTTTTTCCATGGCTGTCTCAAATCCAAATCCAACAGAAAACCTATGAGCAGAACTGAATGGTACAGAGCATAAGAGAGGACTAAAGACTCTAGACACTCTCTAGAGCAAAAAAAATGATCAAAATTAGTTAGAGATTATGTCACCAGAGGTGCTGCTTTTTGTCCTGCCTCAATTATAGCTGGGACAAATCACTTCCAGTTCACATTTAGGCCAACCTGGCCCACTAACCTGTTTATAACAGCACTGAAATGCTTGAACTGGAACCGACTAAGGAATCTTCCACCCTCTCCCTCCCCCCATTTCTTCCTTTGGAGACAAGCCACGCTCCTTCTACCCTCCGGTCCTCTGCAGCAGTGTTAGGAAAAACAAATCTAGTGACTGGAGAAATGACAGTAAGTCTGCTGCCGTTTCCTGACCCTCTGCTGAATGCATACACACACAGACACACTCGCGTACAACCTCCCCTCTGCTGAGACATGACAGGAGTCAGTGTGTGTGTGACCAGACCCAGGAAATGGCAGGAATGTAGAAAGACGGTGTCAAAACTCTGGGAGGTCTACACACTTCTGGGATCGTACATTTAAGCCAGCCGTACAGCAGTTTTTACATCTCTGGTTCACTGGGACACACTTTGTGCAGCAACACATGATCTCTCACTGACAAATGAGTATTGAAGCGCAACAGGGTCAGCGATATGACAGGGCGAGTCTGCTGTTGGGAGTAATAAGACGACGCAGTACTCACCCGCTGGAGGTGCCGAGTGACAGCGAGCTGACTGAAGAGCTCAGCTTCCTGCTGTCCCAAAGTCTCACTTCACGAGTCCGCATCTGCACATTCACCAACACGACAATACAGGTGACCACAGGAAGGTTGATATTTAAACCAAAATACTGAAAATAAAGCATGTATATTTAGGAAAACCTGCAGTGGAGTTTAATCTTGTTGATTTTAATGAAAGTAACTTGTTTAAAATTTAAAAAATGGACAGGACCCATTTATTTTATTCTTATTATTTATCAGGGAAATTTTCCTTGCATATTTTTTAAGTTGCTTTTTATCTGATGACCCTAAATAAAAGCCAGAGTACAGATGGCTAATTTTGTGAAGTCTGGATTAGACGAAACTTTAACTTGCTTATGACATTGAACATACATTCCATGTGGTGACATAATGGTGGCAGCATCATGCTGTGGGAAAGTTTTTCTTTATTTATAATACATTGTTGTAATAATAAATATATGTTTCCTCTAACACTTTAAATAATTCATTTTCAGTCAGTATCTGTTCTGCGAAACATAAAAAAAAATAAATAAAAAAAAAGATTGATAAATTGATTTAAAGCTCTCACCGTATCAAAGCCGGTGGTCAATAAAAAGTCATCTCTGGCCCACAGGATCCGGGAGTCCTTGTTGCTCTGAAGGCTCTTGGCACTCTGATGAACAAGTAAAGCAAACAGACATTTTAAGCATGTTTTACTCAGCTCTTCAACACTGAAAAAGGAAAAAATCAGTTCAAAGTCAGCCTCAACAGAAGCTTTAGGAGCAATTTAATGAGGAGAGTGATGAATGAATAATTTTTTCCAGAGATACCGAAAGGAGTGTAAATAAATTTCCCAGTGATCTCACATCACTGTGGTGAAACAGAACAAGACCAGTTCCTTGAAAGAAGAACCTACTGTTGGTATTTAAAACAAGATGACTTCTGCCCCGCATGTAGCTAAGATTACCAAAAAGCCTTTTCTTGTGGTGCTGCAACTTCTTTTCCTCCGTTTCCATAGTTATTACCCTGTCAAAACAGCTGAGAGGGGCTCTGTTTAATACGTGGTCTTCAGTGGCAGATGACACATGTTGTCAGAAGTAATGAGCAGCAACAACAAGGAGTGCTGAAATGAGAGGAATGCTTGTAAAGACAACACGCTCAGGTTGAAGAGGTCATGCGACTGTGGGGGATTTAGCAGGTATTGTGCTCGATATCACTTTGGAACCTGCAGTATGCACATGTGTGGTGCAACTGTACACAACAGACCAGAGAAAAGGAGTAAGCCGTCATGCTTCTTGTCTATTGGAGTTATTATTCCTTAAAAACGGTGGCTTTTAACACTTTGCAATTTACCGTACCTGTCATTACATCTTGTAATTGTGAATTAGATGCGCAGTTAGGTTGGGCATTCCCACGAGATAGCGAGCGATACGTTTTCCACAGAACAGGAGCCGTTAGCCGCTAATCCCACCCTGTCTCTCAAAATTATTGTTGTATTTTTATAGCTGCAAAACCTTAAACAATCCTGAAAGCGTCTACCATGGCAAGAAGACAAAGACGTCCTTATGCGAGTCCCAACTTGTCCTCGCTCATTCTCATGTAACCATTAATTGACCACAGGCAACAAAACTGTAAAAACAATGAATTTCAGATGCCATGTTGCAGTCCTGAGTAAACAGTGCCTCACAGAAGTATTTATATCAACTGGACATGTTGTCATATTGCAACCACAAACTTCAACGAGTGCCATTTAGATTTTATGCACCAAGCTAAATTAGAGCACAATTAACATATCACAGAGCGCTCAGGGGGACTGCAGAGTTTGCGTTTGTTTTATTGTGCGAAGAAAAAATTATTTTCCGACAACAGTTTGATTTGATCAATTTGTTCCAGCTTTTAATAAATAAAATAACGATACAAGCTTAAACCACTTCCAAACAGACAAGATTGTCGTTTAGTAAGACTGTACCAACATTAAGTAATTACAAAAATCTGCAGCTGAAGCTGACATGAACACAGAGATTAGATCCTGTTTGACAGGAGCTCTGCACATCTGTGTGGGGAGGAACCAAGACGCACTTCCTGTTAATAATAACTCAAACTCCAAATCTTCCTCTCCTTTCTTCCGTCATCCTCTCACTCCCAGACTGGTGGTTTGGGGAGCAAACGCTACAAGGAAGACACAGAGGATGTGGTTACTTCAATTTTGCATTAAATGAGAACTCCTATGGTCCAAAATGTTCCCCCAGGTGATGCTCATTTACATACATATGGACAATGAATGAGACACTATGAGCTAGTTTTTTCCAGATGCAGCAAGGTTTTAGAGTTTTATAAATATGGGAAAGAGAGGTTTTCATTTTTGCCAGTTGAACTGCTGCTTGTTTTATTTATTTCTGTGCAGAGGAATTCAACGAGTTCACTCCCTTCTCCTCAGGGTGCTATAATAGTATGTTATCTTTTTAGTAGACGTAGATCTGAAAAGGCTCTGCCTCTGAGGTCCTAAGCATATTAAAGCCCCCGTTAAATAAATGGGGGGGGGGGGGTTTGAAACTGCAACAAGTGTCAAGGGATTTGTGGGCTGTAAATTTCCATTAAAAAACAAATTAGTTGCATTCCAAATTAAAGGACTGAATTTGAGTTTGTTAATCCATCCATGTAGTTTTATTTTGAGCAAGTTATTCTTCACTTAACATGTTTAAAACAGACCAAGTGGACATGAACTGCTTTTATGCTGCCAGCTCCTTACCTGGATGTCCAGATCGTACTATAATAATGATCTGCCAACTTCTTGCGAATGAATGTCCTACATCGTCCTTTCTATTCACGAATTACTTTTTTCTGAAACTTATTTTTTATGGTGAAATTCCATCCAACTTGGAAAGTTTAATGTTTTCATTATAATTTTGGTACAAGTACAATAATTCTGAAACTTGCGATTTGTCTCGAGTCTGCGTAGAAATGGATTCAATTACAAATGTATGGTTATGGAAATAACCTGGGCCTTCGTCAAAACTTCAAAGCTGTCGTTTTTTATTTGCATGTTGATGTGCAAATTACAGAAACCAGACAAAACATTTATCTTTGATTAAATTGTAAGTTTTGGACTCGGTCAGACTTTTGCTCTGTATTCACATATCTACATGACATGCACTCTTCTCATCTAAAATATTGGGGGGGGGAAGGAAAGCGCTGGAATTTTTGCTTCCTTGGCTTAACATGTAATTCCTTTATTTCACAGGAAGAAAAATGTTGTTTCATTGAGTTGTTTGAGGTGAATTTTTTTTGCTCCAAAGATCAGTTTTATCTTTTCTTAACTGAACTATTGAAGGACTGAGGGAGGTCTATGAAGTTTTTAGAAACAGATATTTAGTTTTGCTTGAGTCAATAAGCAAACATTTGGAGTACCAATCATTTGCTAGTTTGCTTAGATTTCACTTATTACAATAGGCGTCATCAGTATAACAGATAAGAGTGTATATTGTGTTACAATTGATATTTCTTAGAAGAGATTATAAAAAAACAAAACAGATCAAATCTAAAACCTTGTGGAGCACCGTAACGAACAAACTGAAATATATGAGATAGGAATTATAAGAGCAATTCCTCTATGCTAAACCACATATTCAAGTCTTTAGGTTAGACTGTAGTGGTCAATGGTGTCAAATTCAGAACGAACATTTAAGTAGAGTATTAAAAATTTATTTTTGATTTAAGATCAAAACACAGCAAAAAAGATCAACATAAAGCTGCTATTGTCAAGTCTAATGTTTTATTCTTCTTTCATTATTTTCCCAAAAGAAGGACAAAAATATCCAGAATCCAAAAATATCCAGAATATCCAGAATCCTGTGGAGTAATGTACAAACAATATATATATATATATATATATATATATATATATATATATATATATATATATATTGAAGGCTATGTGTTGTAGTTTTTTTTTTTGTTAAAGGTGCAAAACTGCAGTAAATCCAAACTGCCATTTCAAAACAAACTATTGCGCTTAATGGATGATCAATTGCTCAAAAATCTAAGGTTTGTATATATGATCAACTTTCCTTTCAAATGTTTAACTTTTTGCCCAAATGTAAAGCTTCAATGTAAAGACGACTGTGCAGAGAAATAAGGACAACCTATGAATCATCGGTAGCCAGCTGAACACTGACGGCTCAAACTAAATGTATAGTTCTCAGCTATCAAGGAACTTGATATTACTGTACTACATGTCCATGCACCGACATCAAATGCACACTTCAACTTCTGTACCTCTCTTAGGGACAATTCATCTCTGTCCATACCAGACTTTTGACTGACACTGCCTGTATGCTGAACAGATGTTTTCTTGTTCCTGGTGTGCTCCTTAAAAGCTTTATCCTCTAAGAGGATTTTCAAAACATTCTGCTGGGCTGGCTTTCCAAAACAATTCTGAAGTAACATGACCAAAGCTCTGACATGGTTGATAATAAGTCCTGGATAGAATAAACACCACAGTCGTGGCTGAAGCCCATTTTCTGGAATGCAGTTCACTGGTTTGCATTGTGCAGGTAACAGAGCTCAGGGATGTCTTGATAAGCCCATGCGGGAGAGTTGGTTGAAAAATAACCGTGGCGAGCGAAAGAAGAAAAGAGTAAACTCAGGCCTAAAAAAGCAATAGATCAGAAAATGGCAAGAAGGAAGAAAGGCTGACGCCGGAGTGGTATAAGCGGGCTGAATCTATTGCCACTGGGCAATTCATCACCGACACGACTGGCTGACTTCCTTCCATGGGCATTCAGACCAAACTAGGAACAAATTGAGATCAGGCTATTATAAACTGCTAAGTATCTATAATAGCAGAGCTGCTTTTAGGAGTCACAAGAGGAGGGTGATTCATTCTCCTGGCTAGAAAATCCAGTTGTGTTTAAATAACACAATAGCACAAGTAAACACTATAAACTCACCATCATTTTTTTTTTTTTTTGCCATATTCAGTCATGCTGACACACAGCTGAGAAGCAGTGCAAAGCATTTAAGGAGGCGACAGCATTTCCTGTGAGATCATCATGGTGACAGTCTAATGAATTAATAAACACCATGTATTAGGAGGATAAATCCAAGTGCACAATGAGTCTGTAAGCTCTGTGAGACAAAACTGCAAAACAATAGTGTTAATATGCTCCTGCTGACACCAACTAGGTGAAGTATTTGCCATATTTACAGTTGCATTTTTGGGGCACTGTGCTGGAACAGTATCGCCTCACAGTCAGTAGGTCTTGGTCCAAACCTAAAGTGTGAAAGAAGTACATTACCCCTTCACATGTGAAAGTGCACAGGCTTCTTCCAATCACCATAAGGTTTGCTTGTTTGGCCAACTCTTGGCTCTAAAATTGGCTGTGGGTGTTAATACACACATGAACCAACCAGCAACCAGCTGCAACTTCGACAGAAGTTACAGGTCCGGCTAATGACTGAACTGGCAACAAGCTGGGAAAGTCACAGCAATCACTTTTCAGGGAAACCTAAAACCAATCCTACCAGTTATAGACTTTTTTTTTTCCCCTGAAAGTATAATTGTTGAAAATTATTGCGCTGCATCCTGTGGATCTTAAGAACACATTCAGTCACCAAAGTCAGAATTCACTCAAGTAGATATAACATATTAAAAATTACAGATTTTGACCAAAT